TTCATTTAATAAATGCCTATTTTGTTCGAAGGGACGCCTCTGGAAGAGAGATGTAAGAAGCGATGCTGTAGCTGAGCTAGGGAAAAGAAAGTAGAGTGTTTACCGTCTTGAGTATTCCTTTACTTCTAGTGGGAAATGATTAGGTATCTACTGATATAACCGTGGGGACCGAATGTCTAATTAGCATTCCCAAATTAAAATGTTAAACATAAAGACATACTCCGTATACAGCCTGCTATATGTAAAACTCATCCGGGCATAATCCAGCAGTCAGCTGGAAGAGCGAAGTTGACTGGCTTCCAGAGCCGCAGCCGCCTTGGCTAATGGGATCTGCCCGGGGTTTCTCAAGCTTCCCCCCACTGTAGTTCATAGGAGCCGGGTGGTAGCTGCCCCGGGAATGTTACACTAACCAGCCTGGAGGAAAGAGCAAAACACACGGGTTACTTTTAAAGGCTGGCGATAATAACGGGACACAATAGGCAGGCGGATCATCTCTCCGCACCTTTTATTCTGAAGGCTTCACTCGGAATCTTATTTTTTCTTTTGAGTATAACAGAGCACCTCGGGTCCTGTAAGAAATTAGGACAATAACACAGAACCGCCCTTGCAAAGCGGGAGAGCTGTTAAATCCGGGGTCCTTTGCTTCCCAGCCGCATAATTCTGGTATTTCCCGAGGTGTCATGCTCGGGGTTCACCTCTCACGGACTGTAGGGAAAGTTGCCAAATGAATGGAAGAATCTATCTGTTGTCTTGAGCTCAACGGAGACACATTACGTATGATGGAAAGCTAATGCTCCCACCGATGTTAAAATCAGAGGGCTATATAGTTCCAATCCAGCTTCTTGAACATGTAGATTTTTATTTATAAGAATTATTGTGCATGTAGCGACGTAAAAAGGGGATTTACAAGTTGGAGCCTTTTAAAGGAGACTGTGAAAACCTTATCCCCGCTTTTATTAAACATGATATCATCCCGGTTTGCGTGCTTGCCATCTCAATAGCGTTTCACACATGAAAAAAAGAAAGGGGGGGGGGGGGGGAGAAAGATCCATATGCATTTCATAGATTTTTCTTTTAGGTGCATAAGGACTGGCAGTCTCTTAGTGGATAAGAGGGTGAATAATTGTGATACACCAGGAAACAGTTCGTGCAGTTTGGCAGGTCTGGTTTTTATTATTAGATTTTTTGACATTTGAACTTGGCTATTGTCTGAGGAGCTCAGTGCAGATTGCAGTAGGTCAACCTTAAGGCTGCTCTTTTTGGCATTGCACACAAACATGCACACGCTGTCTGTTCTCGTTGCGTGAATGCAGCAGCTCCAGTTTTACCGGGCTTTTTCTTTTTTTTTTTTTTAAGGCACACCTATTTATATTTATCTAATCCGCTTGGGCTTTTCATGGTCGTGTGGTTAGTTTGTAGGCGCGTTCATTTTACGCCCGTTCCTCCCATCTCTGTATTTGTGCCTGATGCTGGATACTTCTAAGTACTCAGTCGCTTTTACAGCAGTATAATTCCAGCATCACGATGTTTGATAAAAGGGACTTACGGTAGCCCTGGGATTAAATGACATATTTCCCTGCCGCTTCGCTCAACTCCATCATGACTCCTACAGTCAAAAGTTAACTTTATTCATCATCTTCTCGCATTTATTCCCTCTTTCCCTCTCGGAATTCAGTCCCGCCGCCCGACTTCTGAAACAATTTCTTGCCTCTAGCGAAGAGCTGGGGGGGATCGGAGGGGGGAGGGGGGAAAAAGGGGGAGGGTAAAGGCGGGGACCCGAAATACCGGCGGGGGCCCCGCCACCACCCAGCGGCCTCCCCTCCTCTGCCGGCCTTTCCGCGAGCGCGAAGCTGGCCGCGGGCGCGCAGCGGTGTCAGAAAACGCCCGCCCAGGCGGGGCGCGAGGGGAGAGGGAGCCACTGCCAGGCAGGCAAAATGCGAAATAGGGATGGTTCCCCCCCCGGGGTGGGAGGAGGGAGCGGGAAAACTGGATCAAGTCCGGCAGGAGAGTCAGTTTGCCCTGGGAAAACCCAGAGACTGGGTCCAGATGACTTTTCCCAGGAGTGATTTGCGACTCTATCTCCTCCTTCCCTCGTTTGGTTGCTGTTGTTTTAAACTGAGGCTCTTCCCTCAACTGCTCGGTTGCAGGGATTCAGGCCGAACAACAGCCGATCTCTTCTTCTAGCAGTCTTTCATTTAAACATGTATCTATCTACATATGTAACTGTACGGATATATAGGTATACGTAAGCTCGGACGCACATACGCCTAGATTTGTTCCTCTCTCCCCTTCACCCCTCCTTCCTTCTTTATCAAGCGCCTGATAACGCGGTTAAGGCTGGTTATTTGAACTCTCAGATCAGCATGCAGAAATGTAATTGCAACGTTTTTCATCAGGAAAGAAAAGGAGGAGTAAGGGGGGGAAACCCTCCCCCCTAGACACCCAGTGCTCGGTAATCGCTGAGTCACCGTACTGGGGGTCAGTGGGTAAACACGAAGAAGAAAGCATCATCTTATTGAAAACCCCTGCGCAAACCGCATCCCTTCTCATCTCCAGCTTGGAGATCGCTCCCTCCCCTCCTTCTTCCCCTGGATTTATTAATTCGGACTTGGAATAAAGTGGCTCAAGTGCGGCCAGAGCCCTCTTTCTGGGGACTGGGTGTCCTTCTCAGGCGCAGTGGGACCCGCTTTGTTGCGGGGAGGGGGAACAGGAAGGGAAAAATAGGGGGGAGAAAATCAACATTAAACTGCTATTTAAGCTGCTGGGAGTCATTTTAAGGGGGAGAGGGGAGGAGGAGGTAAAGGGGAAGCACCGGTCAGTTCACCTAGGGATGTAAAGGAAAGAGAAAGCTTTCTTCGGGGCTGGGCTCTGGGCATGTTTATTCCTGTTTAAACGCTATTGTTCCTGCCAGCCTGTGACACAAACAGAAGGGATGGGGGGGGGCGGGGGGGGTTGGGGGGGGTGGTGGTTGGGGGTGGGGGTGGTGGTGGTGGCTGGAACAAAGCTGCTCAAACCCAAGGAACCCCCAAAGGCAGAGGAATACTTTCTTTTCTTCTCTTTAAAAATGTATGTGACATGACTTTCTGTTTGAGGTTGTTTTATGGGTGTCCCCCCTACCCTCTTCCTGTGAGCTGAGCGGAGTAGCTGGCTGTGATTCACTTACCAGGGCCCGTTTAAGGAGGAACATGTTCCCCCAGGTGGGTGCCAGGGAGCCTCGCAGGGACAGCCAGCTTCTCGGGCCCCTGGGCTGCCGGTGTGTTGAAGGAGCAGACTTGGAATCGGTTTGCGTCAAGGCCTGCAGTGGGAAACAAAGAGGCAGAAATGTTGTGAGCCCAAGGAGAGCCTGAAATACAGAGAGGCATTGAGCTTCCCTGAGATGCTTCAGCTTCTCAGTGGGGGACAGAGCAGGATCCTTTTTGGGCTGGCTCTGTGCAGTTGAGGGCTGGACTGTACAGCCCACACTGAATCAGAGGCATTGTGTGCAAATGAATAATCTCACATTGTTTTGAGATGCTGTTATTGTACTTAGGGTCGGGGGGAGGCGGGGGTTATATTTTGTGTGTGTGTGTGCCTGTGGATCTGTGTGCTTTCGAAAGGTGAGTGCAGATTGCAATAGTTGCTGCTCTGTTTTTGTTTGTCAAACAGGGCCCTTCTCTTGGGAGAGGGGCATGTGGCAGATCCCAGCCCAGGATTACATTAATCAAAGCATTATTTCCCCAGGGGTGTGCAGCACAAATGATAGTAAATCCTAATAAAATTGGATCGCTGAGAAATTGAACGCTTAAAGTAATCTGCTCTGCCTGATAAAAACTTCAAATTTATAAGATATTATGCATCCCCACCCCCAAACACCTTAGGTATCATTGCTATGCGTGTGTATTATACAGCTATCTGTAGTAGAGAAATCACTGCTCAGTTTAACAGGCTCATCACTATTGAATATATACATACACATAGATATGTGTGTGCAAGCACACTTGTATTGCATACACACAAATGCAGAGTCATTAAATAAGCAAAAATCTGCATGCACATAATAATAATGACCATGGTCAGTGTTTCAAGGACATTGCATTGGCCACCTTTGCTGTGGCAGGTGCTGTAGAAGGCTGGAATGAGGCTGTACATGGTTGTGTACCAGCACTGTAGTCTTGCCTGGGGACTCTGTTTTCTCTTGCTTTTTAGTGATGCTTACCATGGGCCTCTGTGGTGGCACCTGCGATCTCAGCCCCACTACGAGCGGCTTTGCTTTTTAAAGCTGATACCATGGGCTGGTAGGGAAATAATAACAATAATAAAATAATACATTCACATGAACATCTGAAGCTGTGGTTAGAAAGCTTCTGAGAGGACGAGCTTCAAAAGGAAGCTGCCTTGGACCAGGCGGGTATAATTGAAACAAGGAAAGGTGTTCGCAGGCCGTTATTCTGCCTTGGACATGCACAGTGCTGCACCCACAGCCCCTCTGCGCAGGGCCAGGCCACTGCCTCCCGTTGCTTCTTGGCAAGGGCCAGTGAAGGCTGGGGTAGCTGCTGGCCACTCGCTAGCTTCAGACCCTCAGTCGCAGCTACTTCCTCTCTGCAGAAGGAAAGTTTGTTTGTAATTGCAGCCGTAGGACATGACAGTAAGCTCAAAGAGACCCACTGTCCAGCAGGGAAAAAATAATAAATTGCTTCCTCCCTCTAAAAGACCGCTGCACTTCCAAAAGTGAAAGGGGCAGAAGGCATTTCCACTCACCCAGATGAAACTCTTTGAAAGGCTGCGAGCTTCCCCCGCAGTTATAAATGCCGATCATTCTTCCTACCCCCGCCCTCCCGGCAGCCCATCCGGCCGTGACACTCCGTTTCCCCCCGCGGGAGCCGGCCCCTCCGAGGACCTCCACTCGTGACCGTGACCGGTCCTGCCCAGCGACCCCGCACGCCTCTCCCTGCCCTTTCTTTCCTGGAATCGCTAGGCAGACCGAAGGTGGCTTATCCTTTCTCCTGGAGTGGGGTTTTCCTGCCTGTCCCTTCCCCGGGGGCTTGCGGAGAGGGCCCTGTCCTGCCCCTCCTGCCTGTGAGCAGGGAGAGGGGGGAAGCTGAGCCCTCTCACAGCCCCGAAATGACGCAGCCCCTGCTCCAGCATCGTCTCCCGTTTGGGCTGGCTCCATTTCAGGAGCGCCGTCTCCCCCCACCCCCTTCTTCCCAGCCTTCTTCCTTCCTCCTCCTCCTCGCCTCACCGTCACTCTCAAACACCCCCCCCCCCCCCCCCCCCCGACCGCTTCCCCCCGCCGCCCCAAACTCCTTCTTCAGGACCGTGGGATGCTGGTGAGCTCTGGTGAGAGTTGCCGGTCTCCATTTCCAAGCGGGGAGCCGCCGGGAGCGGTGAGGCAGCCGGGCCGGGGGGAGCAGCGGGGGAGGGGGGCTGGGGGGAGGCGATGAATGAAGGAGGGGTAGAGGGAGCGGCCCCTCACCTCCCCCCCCCCCCCCCCCCCCCACTTGGAGCACCCCCGCTCCCGGGAAGGGGAAGCCTCCGCACCCCGCCCGCTCCTGCCCGCCGCCGACACGGCGCAGCGGCGGCTCCGCGCTCCTCCGTGCGCTTCCTCCCCCCACAGCCGGCAGCGCTGCCCCGCTCCCCTCGACGGGGCTCCCGCCCTTCCCCGCAAGACTCCACTCGGCTTCCCCCACGCGTGTGCGGAGCGTGCGGGAGGGGACCCACTCACCCCGCCACTGACGGTGCCTCCTTTCCTCTACTCCCTTCTTATCCTAAAAGAGCCCGCACCCCACCCACCATCCCCCAAAAAACCCATTCATTTGCATACCGTTTGGCACCCTCGCTCGGTATATCCCCCTTCTTTTTTATCTCCCTTCCACTCCCTCCCAGACCGATTCCTTCCCCCCCCCCGCCTTTTCTCCCGCATCCCGGGTGCAACCGGATGACAAAAATCAAAGCTGGTTCCAATTTACCCCGGTTGTCTTCCTTTGAACCCCCGTAAGGTAGGTGTGGGGGAATACTGCGCTCCCACTCCCCGTGCGCTCAGTAAGGTGCCTTCCTCCCCTCCTTACCCTAACCTTCCCCGCTTTCCTGTCCTTAATTGGCTCTGTCTTGATGATGTGCACTTGTTTTGTTTAGCCTATTTTACCATTGAGGACGAGATAGGCAGAAAAAGGAGCGTTTGACTTGGTATGTCTCTCAGATTTGTTTTTTCTTTTTTACCCTCTCCCCCCCTTCCGAGGTTAATTTGCATTTGAGGTCTAATTCATATTTCAAAATCCTGGCGTTTGAGGATTGTATAGGAGCAGGGAATTCATTTCTGTTTCTGAGGAGGAATCTCTCCTGTATTTGCTCTTCTGTGTATAATTTCATTGTGTTCACAAGTGACAGGGATTTGCATCAGTTATTTTGCAAATTTCAGTGTTGGTTTTTTTTCATAAAATTTAGAGAGAAAAAAAGATCTTATTTTGCAAATTGCAAAGAGAGCAAACACTGGGAACTGCAAAAGGAGCATATGTTATTAACAATGTTACAAACTTAAACTTTAAGGCACAGACTATAAATTCATATAAACGTGTTAATCTGCATTCCTTGGAGTTGGATTTCTAGCTCTCAAGCATCTGTTTTTGATGACTATTAGAGAAAGTCATCTATGGAAATACTGAGGTATATTTATAGTTCCTTACTATTTACAGGTGATTTTGCTGCTGTTTGCTACTCTTGCTCCAGCACTTTATAATACTTCACTCCTGAAAGGCATTTCATAGGGTTAAATGCTGTTTTACTCATTAAAGATTTCCAGCCTGTCCAGGTGTAAGTTCCATCCACATCTCTGGAAATAGTTATCTGGCCATGTGGACTTTATGGAAAGCTTATAAAAGATACGTGGTCATATAAAAAAATTCTGGTTTATATCCACAGTTCTTTCAGTTCTTTGGATGTGATGAAGAGTCCATCTATGTTTAGGCCTTTATAGGTCTGTTAAGGACTTCCTTCCCATCTTTTGTTAGCATCTATAAAATGAATTTTGTTTATATATATAATGGTTACATGAATGGCATACGTTGCATAATATGCATATGAGGCATTTTGAGTATTTCTGCCTGCACACACGTTTATTTTTCACAAGCGTGTATGTGTGCGTGCATGTGTGTTTATACACGTGTGCGGTGAAATACATTCTGGGAGGGAAAGCTACTCAAAATAAGAACGTTCATAAAGGAAAAGCTGTTAAGGTAGTTCACTGGGAGTTTGCATCTAGTGCCTTGCAAAAGTCCCGTAAGTTACAGGCTTCACTGCAAATATCTACATACACCCCCATCTCAGCATAAAAATATTTGTGCTTATATTTGTCTTTCGAGAGCTAACGAAACAGGGCTATGAATTATGCCTAAAAAGATGCTACAGAGATAAACATGTATAAAATAGTAATGGAATATGGAATTTTATATAATGCCAACTACTTTAGCAAGATTCTTGGCATAAGCAATTTAGTGCAATTTCATTTGTCTGAACCAGAATGATATTACAAAGTGAATTAATAGAACATTAGTACTGAAAAAAAAAAGAAACACTCCTTCCTTTGAAATATGAAGTGCCACTAACTTGAGATGAAACCTGAAAGTCAGTGAATAATATATGGGAAATATTAATATTTTAAATGTATCATATTTAAAATTGCTGTGAACTTAAACAAGGTTTCATATCAAGAAAAAACAAGTAATTCATTTTAGGCTCCAATTTCATATGCAACATTTTACAAATGAAGCAATTCACTAAAGAAGTGAAGTCAAGTATGTAAGCATATTTTGTTATTTTGCACATGAAATATGGTCATTATGGAATATGAATTTAATTTGGGAAGTGATAAAAAAGAACATTTATTTTATTTTTCTGCTGTGCTGCAAGGAAAACATTTTTAAGCAGCTGATTAATGAGATGAAATGAATTGATATGGCCCATCATACCTGCATGGGCTTTTATACCTTGTGAAACTTCACCACAACGGGACCTTTATAAAAAGTATAAAGTGAAGTAATGCAATCATGTTTTAAATTTAGAATGGGAGTTGATGCGATTCAACTTGATGTTGTAAAAAGCGAGCCCTCTGGCACTTGGCATTACATGATTTAAAAATTACTCCTGCAAGGAAGGTTAGTAGAAAGCATGTAGCAGGGTTGAAGCCCAGCATGAAAGCTCGGGCAAATTGCAGTGCCACCGCCTGCCTTGCAGTTAGTTTTAGTAGGGAGAAAGCGTAGCCCTTGGTTAACTCCTCAGTACACGGCCTGTGGACTCCAGCGTTTGACACTGCCCTGCTTCAACAAGCTGGTACAGCTCAGCCTCTGGAAGACAAATCTTGTGCCCCTTAAGATGAGTCAAATCCTGCTTGTCCTGTTCATTGAAGACATCCGGAGGTTTGCCTCCTTGGAATGAGCAGGATCTGACCCTCTGTACCTCCATGAGACCTTCATATCAGCTGAGAGATTATTTTTGCATTTGTTTGGTGTGGATGGAGTTAGGTCTGAGGGCCACATTGACCTTGTCCTGGTGCCTAAGCCTTCTAAAGGTTAGATCCTACCCAGCTTGGCTCCGGCCAACCAGGCCAGCCCCAATGGTAGTCGCTACATATGGTACACAGAATACATATGACTGGGCATTTTGAACAGTTGGGCAAAAAAAAGGTGTCTTTGCACCATTGGGAAGTGCTGGGTGTGTATGAGCTTGTGAAAAGAGCACTTGCATGCTCTAGGGAAGACTAAGGCTGTCATGAGGACTGTAAGCACTTAGGAGCTGTCTTACTGATGGACAGCACAAAGCATGGTTAGTCCATAACCTGTTTCCCACTAGGAGCTAGTCACAGGTGCCACAAAAGAAGGCAGGTTGTTGGTGATGGGGGGACACGCTTGACACCTGCCACACAGCGGATCTCTTTCTGGCCACTTTTGCCCAAAGCCCTGGGACATTTGCTATTATTCTCTCAATTATCTCAGACTAATTTCAGTAGCTCGTGTTTTCATTACAAATGTCAGTGCCCTTCTGAAATTGGCTACTGGTATTTTGGGTTCAGAATAACTGTGATGGGGAAGAAACCCCTCAACTTTTCCTCTTTAAACAGTTTCACCATTTTATCACAATTTGTTTAAATATACATTTCTCTACTGTGAAATAACCTTTCTTTCCACATTTATACCCATATGCACAATGCTAGCTCATAGCAGAAACAACATTTTAAAACACTGTGTCATGCTTATAGGATAATTATTAACCTTGTCAGAATAAAAAGCATACTAAAAGTACTCCATACAAAGGTTTGTGCCTTAACGTTTTTGAAAGTTTTTTTTTAAAGTAATCAGAGATGTCACAACAGAGGGAGGAACTATACAATACATAGCACATAGTAAAAGTATATGAATCCTACAGGACTATTTAGAAATATGCGATTATTTTCTTTCTCCTTTTGGTTAGCAGGTTACTTGATGAAAAGGTATGTTTTTGTTTTTATTCCTGCTTGTGTCTTAGAGTTCTATGAAGATGATGTGAAACTGCAAATTCCAAATTTTAGTTGCTATAGATGATATAAAAATAAGGAAAAGAAATGTTCCTGCCATGCGTCTGGAGGGATAAATATACAAAGTCACGCAATCTGATAGCAGAAAGAATAGCTATTTGATGATAAACCTAACACTAAATACAAACAGAATAATATTGTTCTAGTGAGAAATATAGCAAATAAAAAGGTATGACAAAAATACAGGTTTGAAACTCTCTCTGTTTAGATCTTTTCCAGTTGAATGTTCATTCTTAATGTTTTGTGACCACTGAGATACAATTAGCGAACAAGTTACCTAAAACTTAGCTGTCTCAATTTTCATGTCCCATATCTAGAAATCCCAAAATGTAACCTGTATTAACCCCATTTAACTTTAGGAAGGTGGTTTTACTGGTCATTGAGTGGATTTTCTTGAGACCTGATTCTTCATGCTCAAACTTGTGCTGAAATGGATAGGATATGTTAGCAGGGTTTGTAGGGTCATTTACTTTTTTTGTGCAGGAGGGCTAGCCTTGTCATACTGGGGGTTCATACAGGTGTAGGAAAGGGGTACTTCAGGAAAGGGACTATTTTTCAAGGGCGTTGGGTGTTTACGCCTTCATTTGACTTCAGTGAGAACTGTGAAAACTCAGTATTATATAAAAAATGTGGCCACTTTTCTTTAGGAACTCAAATGTGGGCCCAGAAATCTGACTTCTGGTACCTCTGGCTGAAAAAAAAAAGCAAAGCTGAAAAAAAAAAGCAAAATGCTATCACTGGAAATTTCTGTTTTTATCTTTGTATAGGTTTAGCATCAGCCCTATGAATATAAAACATAAATCTACCTTTCCCCATGTGATAACTCTTTGTCTTTTCCCTCAGAGAGGCAGGAGAAACGGTTGAAACACTACCACCCTGAAAAAAACAGACATTAATAATAGAAATTATTGTTCATTGCTCAATTAAGAAAATAAGAAGTCTGGAACCTGCATAGGGTGAATTATGATTTTAAATGCTCACGTTTTGACTTTCTGAAATTAGGATCTTAGTACTGAACCCTTCCAGCTATTTCTTAAGACTGTTAGGAAAGAATAAGACATAAATTTTAAAGACCTGTTATAGGGACAGCTTTCTCCACTGTGACGTGCTGAAACCTAAGGAAAATATAACAAATGTTTTCAGGAGCAGCCAATGGCTGGAGAGAGGAGAATATGCCGTAAACACCTCTGCTCTGGTGAACCCTGTAGAAGGTCGCATTCACCTGGGTTATGGGCTCCTCTTCAGATGAGGAGAAGCAGGGGAACCAAAACCTGTGACTGGTTATCAAAGTCCTCTCGGTGCAGCACCACCAAGTTTTGGGATCCATTTTTCCTGATGGTGTTGAGACAAAAGTGGGAAAGGGGTCCAGCCTGAAGCTCTGTGCACCCCTGGTGCCCATGCTCGGAGGCATAGTTTTTTTGCCTGCAAGTGGTAGGTGAAGCTGGGGGACCCTCCTTCCGTCAAAACCAGGGACAGGCTGGCCCCATAGCCCCAGCAGGAGCTGGGGTACTCGGGCGGGAGCGGTGGCCCTCTTTTTTGTGCCGAACCCGTAAGGATGGGGCTCCCCTCTGCATCCTGGTTTCAACTTTGCTCTTTGGTTTAATGTCTAACTGCAGTGCGAGGTTTTAATTTTATTTCAGGTCCTGTCTTCATCTAGAAATGATTGGGTTGGGCTCAGCACTGGCTGTCTTGATAGTTTTGAAATTCCTGGGAAACCTCAATACTGGCATTTTATAAACAAAGTAAGCGAAGCACGCTAGAATATTAATGGACGAAACACGTTTTAAGGGGGCACCATCACTTTGTAATTTTGCCTATAAAAATATATCGGGTAGAGGCAGTTTGGGGGAGTTGCAGCAAAGCCACAAGTGTTCTTTGCAATTTAAAGCTTCTGAGTTTTAATTATTTCTTTTTCTGCCACTGTGAAAGATCCCTAGAGACAATGGGGGCTGTGACATTGAGGAACAGGTTATCCTGACTGTGCAGGGAGTGCCATAAAAACCACAAAATGGACACACAGAATAAAATACAACCCCACTCACACTCCCCCTTCCCAGTTTCTCTAATTTCTGACATTTATAGTAGTTACATCAGCAGCGGGTAAAAGGGAAAAAAAAAGGCAGACGGAAATATGGTCCCTAAACCGACAGAGCCTCTTTACATTTGCTTGGAGAACCATTGCAAGGGGAAAAAATAATAATAAAAGACATACTACACTGTTATGGACTTTATTTGTTTAAACACAAATTTATGGAGCTGGCCACACTCCAAAAATTGGAGTTTGGTACTGCAGTTGCTTTGGTTTATTTTTCAGCATTGTAATGGGCTACAGGGAGACAAAGAAGAATATGAATATATGGCAGTTGATATTTAGATTTGGGTGACATTTTTGCTTGTTATAACTGTCATTTTTAAAAATTCATTTTCCTGCTATTGAATTGCAGCAGACATCGATAGAGAAAAGCTGGAATTATTTAATAACCAAAATTAGGAGTGATTTTTGTGCTATATTTCTCATTACCCACCTCTTAACTAATGAGGAACCCTGAGGTCCAGACTAAACTCACCCATGGGGTAGATAGAATAGGCTGTTAAAGAGTGAGATGATAGATGGACCTTTTCTTCACCCCCAAAACCAGTTTCTTTATAAATCAGTAGAAAGCAAACCCTTCCTTAGAGCATCAAAAAGCAAGCTCAAGCATGACACTACTATCACACCTTTCACGCTATTTTTTTTTCAGGAGTTCGCCCCCGATTTTAGTCCAAAGGATCTGCTTCTGGGAATTGTGTGTCCGGCTCCAGCGTTTTGCCTGCTGAGGAAGAGGTATGCCCTTTGTCCCTCACCTGCAGATGGCTTGGATGCTTTTACTTTTTTGCGGTGAGCCCTTCCTAGTGGGCTGCATTCAGAAAGTGCTTTTCATAGCATTAGTGCAGAACCAAGTTACAAAAGAATATTAATCTAATACATTCCAAAATTCAAATATGTGTGATTGATAAGCATTATTATCTATAAATAAGGCTCTAATGATACTTTGGCAGTGTTGTAAACACAAGAATCAGAAGCAATTATTGTCATTATTGTTCTGCAAGTACTGTCCATGAATACCAAATGGATATTACTGTCCAGCTCCTTGGCACACAGAAATCCTGTAAAGAAACAGTTGTCAGTCAGTAAGGTCTGGTCGGCTGCTCTTAACTACGTTTGTCTAAAATACAGCGTACCTAAAGACAAAGCCTGCAAGTTATTGAAAAGCAACACTGTTGTTGATTTAAAAAATTCTTCGTCTTTTGCAACCCCCCCAAATGATGTTAAATAAAGCCTATGAGAAAGTTTTCACGTCCTGTGAGATGAACTGTTTGTGTGATGGTGGTGATTAAAAATGGAAACGGATTCTCTGCCAAAAAAGCTGCCCTTCTTTGTGTGAAACCCACAAAGGTGAGAACACCCCAGCTGGAAGGTGGTGTGAAAATAATGACAGAGCCCCCCCCCCCCCCCAGGCTGCTAGAGGTAACCCACAGCTAGCTTTCAAGGATGAGAGATGAAAGGGGCGTTCATCCCCTTCACGTTTACCTCACCCCAGTTTGCACAGGTCCCATAGACCTGAGTCACGCTGGTGGCCGGGTCCCACTGGCTGTGACACCCCCACTCGCCTTCCTTTGGCAGTCTCACCTCCCTCACCAATCCCACCACTTTAGACGGTGCCAGCCAACAGCAGCATTTTGTGGTGGGTGTCTTGTTGTTCTTCAGATGCCAGGGTGTCATTGCGAGCGGGAACAGTGTGGGTCTGACTCTCCGAATCTGCAGAAAGGGAAAGAAAAAAAAACAGCCCCAAACCCCAAACAGTGAGCTTTACTTTCCAAATGTGTTCAATTCTTCTTTCTCTCCTTGATATTTGGGGCGTGCAGCACCCTATACCATGTGGTTTAACATTTTGTTCTCTATTTGTAGGTCAACATTTCCATGATTAAACTTCATCCTTTATTCAGCCTGTTCTGGCTAGGCTTTGCAGCACATGTGATATAAGCTGTTTTCACAGCTAGTAGGCCAAATCTTACTCTGGATAAGGGAGCCAAACATATGTGACTGAGTCAGACACTTAAATCAGCTCCCTGGTAAATGGAAGATAACTCCAGGTGCAGTGTTGAACACTGAGAACCAAAGAAGTGGGAAGGGTGACCAGCCTTCCTTCATGTGGGGAAGAAGACATCCTATGCACACAGGCAGTGAAATCATAGCCCTGCCCACATTTTGCTCTCCCACATTTGCCTGAGGGTATGGGGCCCTCATCACTGAAGTCATTGGGAATCTTTCCTTTGACTTTGGTGGGCTCAAGATCAGTCCAGCCTGGGGCAGGCTCAGATGGAGCTGGCTGTGGGATGGGCTTACACAAGAGGGGCATGAGGTGGAGGAAGCAAGGCCCTTCTTGGTGAGCCCACCTTGCACTTGCAGTGTTCATCAGGTGGTTGCTAGGGGGTCAAGGAGCACCCTGCCTGTGGTATTGTGTTTCTTTCATTCTCCCTCTCTTCATCGCCCTTCCATATCTGGCTCGTTTACTGACTGAGGCTGGTGACTCTTGTTTTGCCTGGAGCTGGTAACAGTTACTGTGACGTAGGGTTGAACTGGGCGACCTCTCCTCATAAATCAGTGGAACAATTCCTGGAAGTGCTGGCTGCCTGGACTGAGTGTTACCCAGCCAGGTAATCCTCAGTGCAGAGGATTTGTGTTAAAGGACTCTCTTTCTGGCTGCGTGGCCAACAGCCCTCCTCCTCCTTTGCCATTGCTTGGTAACTCTGGTAAGTACAGGAAAAGAGGCTTGCGGGGCTCATTAAGTGCAAATGGAAGAGACAGATGAGCAGGAGGGTGTCATATATGGTCCAGAGCTGCTGTGTCATTGCTGTGTGACATTCCTACTTTCCCCAGGGCTGGACTGGCCCTGGCTATGGGACTCGGTGCTACACAGAGAGTACCAGCATTGACTAGAGTGAATAGAAAATGAGAGCTCCTTAGACAGTCCAGGGAGGACACATTTTCCTCAAAGGGGCAAAGCTGTACCCATATTATTGCAGAGAGAGGACTGAGCTTCATCTATTATTTGGTAATGAACTGCAGCATCACAGAAGGGATCTGGCAAAGAACCATTTCCCTCAGAAATAAACCCTTCCAGAGCTCCACTTGGGCTGACTCCCTCAGCTAAAGGAAATACTGGCAATGTAGATAGCAGGACTTTCAGTGACTTTTATCTTTTTTTTTTACGGCACCTATCCTTTAGCTTTTGTTCATTTGCTTTGATTTTTTTCAATAGATTTTTCATTTAGAAAAAAAAATCTCCTGCCCAAATCCAAATGTGACTGCTAGATCTTCAGTGGATAAGCTCAAATAATGAATACTGTGTGCGTGTGAGCACTGCGTTACCTGCTGTTCAGAAAGTTCTGTCCTGAAAACACACACGGTGGCATGTAGGATGAGGTGGATGCACTACTCCAAGGCTTTGAAGACCTGGGTAAATTCCTGGGCAAGCAGGTGGGCATCTGATTGACTTCCCTGCCATTGTATTGGGAAGAAAAAACCTGCTGGCTACAAGAAGAAAGTTGTGAAGACTTAATAGAGGGCAGGTGCCTTCAGTGCTTGTCATGATGTTAGGGGATGCTGTCTTGAAGTGGGTCACAGAATTAGATGGGCTGGGCTGGTGTGCCTGGGGACATGAAATGATGCAAGGCAGAGGGAGGACGAATTGCACACTCCTGGAAAGCAGCCGGTAGAGTACTAGGATTCTGCCCTTACTGGTGTGAAAGTTGATTAAGAATATGCTGGAATAAATCCGTATGTGCTTCAAAGATGCATTGGTGTCAAATTAGTGGAAAGGAGAGGGGAATTCAGGCCAGTAAGATCTGCTGATAGGGTCAGGTGGCCTCCCTGTCCCTGGGTCAGCCTTTTGGAAACACAAACTGCATTTTGGTTTCACTTAAAAGTGTGAGCCAAATTGTGATGCTTACAGAAAGCAACACGAGTGGAAGAAGATGGGGAAGTGTTATATCAGGGTGTGAGAGGATCACACCACGGTACAGTGATGTGAAGTTGGGGTAAAAGCAAATTAAGCTTTTTCTCTGTGGCTATTTAGACAAAAGAAGTTAAGTCACCATTTTCTTATGCTTAAATAACAGTCTCCCTCTCCCATGGTACAAAAGATCTCGGGATCACACAGGAATGAATTAAGACTGTGGTACCAGACGTAATTTCAAGCTAATGAAGAATCAGTGTATTTTGACTATCTTTTCTCTTGTTTCTGATTGTCTTTTTTTTGGGGGGTTGATATTGCTGTAAGTAAATACATTCGTCTTTTGTTTCATTTTCCCCTTGTGACCTATTTCATTTAATTAGAAGGAAATGTATGATAGGAAATGAGTAGCATCACACTGGGCTCCATCCAAACCCTTTGAAATTATCAGGAATCTTTCCCGGGCTTTTCACCAGCACCGGATAAGGCCCAGCAGAAAAGAGGGGCTATTTCCACCTTATCTGGAAGAACGTGTGCTGCCAGCATAAAAATATTACACTGCTCATTTTAAGATCTGGCCCAGATACTAGGGAAGCATTTTGCTACTGCATATGCCTTTCTGTGCCACATGTTTCACATCTGTGGCAGCACATTAAAGGATAAAGGTTCCTAAAACCTTAACTCCAAATATACATATGAAAAGAAGATACAAATTAAGGAAAAGATAAAATATATTGATGGAAGTGCAGGAGATGCTCTTTAACATGCATATTATTGACTCAATAGATTGTTACGGCTTCAGAGCTATTAGGGTCTGCTGTGTCAATGTGTACTTAGGGACTGTTTAATATGCAGATGGTTGACATGACAGACCGAAGCCATTACAGTCTATCATGTCAGAGGGGATACATGAATACGCACTTTGCCAACACTGTGAAAAGTCCCTTTAAAATACAGTTGCTGTGCATACTTAGCTGCTTTTTAAAATGATTCAATAGCTTTGGTTCTTTGGATGCCCACAGACTATGTTGCTGGATTTATCAGCAATGAAATTTATTTCCAAATTAAGCCATTTTCCATGTGGAATATGCAGTCAGGAGGACAGGGTGTAATCTCAGATATGCAGCTCCTATCAAATCTTGTAAAATTAGCTATTGCACTTGTGAGTGTGTAGAAGAGATCAGAATCTATCTGTCTGCATGTGTCTTTTTGAAGAATATAGTTTTGTCTTTTTGAGGGGTAAGGGAGAATGTCGTCTTTTTTTCATTCAAATAATCTTCAGTAGCAATTAAATAGCTTATGCTACCTAAGAGATCAGTTATTACAAGATAAGCGGCATGACAGTTTGGAAAAACTGAGTAAGTCTTTGATTATTTACTAAGTTTTGATATCTGCTATTTGCCTCAAAATGCTAAAAAGTGAAGTATAAGATACAAACATGAAAGGCTCATTTGATCATCATAAGGAAAGGAATCAGTAGTTTTGCTTTTCTTTTCCTCAACAACTTATTTTTTATTAAAATAGCAAAGCCAAGTGTTGTGTTTAATAAGATTTTTTTTTTCATTTGAATATCAAATGGAAAAATACAATTAAAATATTTCTGCTTTTACATTAGTTGTAGGCTATATTTCAACAACACATATATCTAAGAAGATCAGCATACACATTTGGTATATATTAGATGCTTCTAACAGATGCCCAGACCTCTTCCCCTGTTTTTTAATGTTCTTTCTTATGGCAGCGATCCAGGGACATTTTAATTTGCAAGCCTGTGAACTTGGAAATAATACTTGTAGTGGGGCATTACATCTACTCTGTTCTAAGTTTATTGTCATGTGTCACCTAGCTTTGATTTTAGTTGATTTGCTGGACTGAGGCACACTGCGGAACTCCAGCACAAAATTCACCAAGCAAAAGCACTGTGCCTTGCAAATAATAGTAACTGTGCAAAAGCATAAAGGCCTTTCTTCTAATCTGTGGGACAGCTTAGGGGCAAATCTTGCAAAGGAAAAGTGCATTTTCAGGCAAATGTGATGGCTGATTTTCTGACGGCTCCTTTTACTGCCTGGTACTAACAGGGAGAACATCGGGACAGTCGGGAAGTGGTGGTGGTGGGTAGGGTAAGTGCCGTGAGGTAGGAAGTATGGAGAGGACATTTTCCATGGCTTGTCACACATATGTTCCTGGGTCGTCTGTGAGATTTCTGTGGTGACACGGAAAAGCCAGAAAAAGCCTCGGGGAAAAAAGTGGTCCAGGAAAACCCAGGAGGTGGCTGCTTCTTACAGCTGAATGAAATCACCATGCACTCCAGGAGAGGTCCCTCTCTCTGTGCTGAGTTACCTCTGCAACGAGGAAGGACCAAGCAGCAGGAGCCTGTGCCACAAGAAAATTTATCATAGCCTCAAACATCAGTGCCGGTAGAAAAAGTGCACGTTGCTTCCTCCCTAGCCCTGGGAAAGTGCGTGTATCCCTGTCATTTCCTCTTGGCAATAGATGGTGACCACAGCAGTGGGAGCAGCAGCATCCACATCCCTTCCTGCTCTACCTTGGCCCATCCGGGTGGCTGGGGGGGTACATCTGGTTCTCTGGGGCTCTGACTTTCTCCTTCCCAGGGGCAGCCCTGGGAGCTCCACATCCCTCTCTCTGTGCCCACGTGGGCAAACATCAGCTGAAACAGGCATGTGAAACAGGCATGTATGACAGTATGATATGGAGAGCTGCTTTACCTGGGGCTAATCCATAAAGTGAAAATGTAGCATTTTGACAGCACTTGTAATTTTGACTATTGCAATGGTGTGCCATTTCTTTGAATGCAGCTTGCTTCCGTGCCCCATTAAAGCATGGCTGGCATCGCTTTCAACTATTCACAAATGCTGAGATGTTGAAAAATGTAACATTTACAAAAGATACATCTGGTGTATATTTACAAGGCTCAGGAATCATTTAAATAGTGCCTGTGCCATTACCATATTAGGAGAAAAGTTAGTCCCAGCCCCATATGTGAAATCAGTAGTCAAATGTGTGCTGGTGGAAAGTCCACTGATATGATACAGTAATTTAGGGTATTAAACGTGAGCATACCATACTGGGTGTAATACCCAAATGAGATAAGTATAGACTGGTTTAACACGTGTGACAATTGCCAATATGCACCTGTTTCAAACTATGTGGTCAGAAGATAATTATGGGTTTTGAGGGGCAAATGTTTGATGTTTTGATTAAAGAAGAACCTTTTTTTTCCTCATTGAGAGGTCATTCTATTTATTCCTATTCTTCAACGAGAACTGTAAGACCTATCCAGGAATCGAGGAAAAAGACGTTGAACAGCTTCCTTTATATCACATAACACATCGAAGACAAAAAAGTGTTTGTGTCCTCCTGCCAATGCAATACCACTTAAGCTGCATTTGAAAACTATTTTTTAATTAAAGTGATGGGTCATGTTTTCACCACCCTAAGGCAGGAAATTCAAGGTAAACCAGATACTCCCTTTCTCAGTCACACAAACATGAATTAAGCATGTAGCATCAGACTTAATTTCAATTTCTAGGTCTGTAATTGAATCTAGCTCAATGTGAACTTTTTTTTCTGCACCATCACATTGATATCTGGATGTTAGTGACATTATTTAAAGCAACAAATCAACCTATAGGACTGTGTTCAGCTATACTTTATGTCATTTGACAGTAAATGGAATAAAAAAAATGTTACTTTTCTCTAGGGGCAGATTTGTTAAAGGGTTTTCATCTTTTGTCAAGATATTTAATCTTGGAATGTTACAAAAAAATGCACAGTTTGTACAAGTGCAGATTTCTGCATGCACAGTTTGCCTGATTGCTAATTTGGATGAAGACGCTTAGGCTTTACACAGGCAAATGAGAGAGGAAAGATAATTTTTGCATATATCCTTCTGAGTCAAGTGTGAGTCCCCGGACTCTAAGTGAAGCAGGTATCCACTTTTGGGGCTGAAGGCTGTCACTCTGGATTGCCCCATACATCAGTCTCAGTTTATGCATGCCAATGAGAACAAATTCTAACAATGAGCTGTTGAGTGATGCCAGCAGAAATGAGCGTTTCTGAAAGCTTTGGGTTTTGGAGAAAGCAGCTGAAGCCGACTCTGTGGCACTCACCATGGAGAAGGAGACTGAGATTTTGAATGAAGGAGAGTGAGATTTTGGTAAAAGCCTCCCACATAATAGACAATTGTGAACACACCCTTGTTTTCCAGTGGGCTGAGTAAAGCTGATATGGGACTATAGAATTAAGCCAAAATGCCCAGCCATGATATTTCCTCAGAGGGGCTCACTACAGAGCAACCTATCCAAAATTATTAGTGCTCCTAGTAATTATTATTATTAATTCCTGTTGGTAAGCTTGTTCCTCCATCATGGTATCAATCACGTGCTGGGATGTCTACTGCTTAGGACACTGTACGCTCTTGGAAGTGGATGATTGTTTAATTGGTAGATTGTAAAGATGGTCTGACCTATTGCCTTTTCCCATTTTACTTTGTTTCAATTGCCTGGACTCTTGCAGCTCCTTAGTAGCTTTTCTGATCCATCATGTCAGTCTGGCAGCTGTGCCTCTGCACTCTGCCTGCCCGCCCACCGTAAACCAGATTTCAATCTCAGATTCATGGCATACCCTTTTCCCTCTCTGTCCTCTCACCAGAGAGCTGATTTTGCCTGCACCTCTATTAAATGGCTTCATTTTAATGGCAACTGTTTTCTCCCGTGGGTCTTCTCAATCCGGGGCGCTAGGTGTGCAAGGACAGAGGAGGGCACATTCACAGATGTCTCTAGGTGTGTGCTACGCATCTGAGATTAGGCTTCCTCCTCACATCCACAGGCTGAGCCCTCCATCTACCCCAGAGAATGACTCTGCTCAGTACCACGGCCATTTTCATTTGGAAATATTTCCCCCATGCTGTGTAACTTCTGCCCTTACTGCGGACTCTCTGCTTCTCTCAAGCTGAATTTATCTGTGGCATGCAGGCCTGCAAAAGACAGCTTCTCAAACTCCATTTTACATTAGGCCTCCTGGAAAATTGTCCTTGAAGGTTTCCACCCCCTACCCAACACTAAGAAAAAAATGATTGAAAATGTTTGAAATTGTATTAGCAAATTTTCAAGAGGAAACAGATTTTTTTTCTGCCAAGCTGTATAATGGGTGTTTTTGAGAGGTCGTTAACTTCAACATTACAGTCAAAAACAGTGTTACACCCCACACTGCATCCTTCTTTAGTCAATTAAGTTACTGATAGGCTTTTACATTTATTTACCTTGATGGAAAGATATGTTTACTCAACCTGAGTACAAATCAACATGAGGAGGGTGAAGTTCAGACTAAATTTGACTAATGATGTTGTGTTTTCATCCTTAAAAGAAAGAAAAAAAGCCTCCTTGCTTTTGATGCTATTTTATCTTCATTGGAAGGGATCCGAAATGATCCCAACTGTCATGTGAGCACTCAGTTAGGCTCAGATCCTCTTTGATTGCAGCTGAACATCTCTCTCTGTTGGCTCATACCTTCCCTTATATGAATACAGCGTACTGCACTTCAGGTTGTTTATTGAACAGTGTTTTGACTCTTCCTCTGTGGATGTTCTCATGATTATATATCTTTAAACAAAATATGGGTTGCAGCCACCTTTGCCTGGAGAGATGTTAATGCAGCCACATCGCTGATGTGAAGGAAGAATTTCCTCTTGGTTTCAGAATAACTCCTAAATTACAAACCTAAGTGGTATAAGTCATATTTCTTTCAGTGAACCTTAATTATCTTTCCTTTTCTTTCAGGCCCACTCTGTTCTCCAGCCTTGTTTCATGGATTTCTATCTCTCCAAGTAATTCCTCAGCATCCCCTTGAATGGCATCTACCGCACGTGAGCATCCTCCACCGTCTCTAAGATACTTTTGTTGTTTTTCTTTTTTGAACATTTGTTTTTTTTTGAGATGACATTGATAGACGTGAGGCCTAAGTCTGGAGATGTTCTGTGGGTAGAGCTCACATTTATTTCAGTATGCCGAGCAGTTTTAGGATCTGATCCATATTGAAGACTAGCACAGCGTAATGAGGCCTGGGCATATAAAACAATATGTATTCTAACACAACTCACTCAAAACAAATATGTTCCCTTCTCTTCTGCTGGTATAAACAAACAATCTCCATTGTGTTCGGCATGGCTCTGCTGCACCGCCTCGCACAAGGCGAGAGCTTGGCTTCCCAGATCATGAAACAGCATCTCCATCCTGTGATGCAGGTCTTCCAACTGCATGCCCAGAGAGCCCTGAGCCTTAGGACGCCAGTTGTAAGGGCTGACATTAATCTGGTGTTAAGTCCTAAGTGCTTTATCCACTACAGATACATATAAAGGTGGTCTTGTTTCTGAGTCCTATGCTCTTCAGTCTGACAAAACGGGTTCTGGATTTCAGGGCAGTTTTCCACAGTGGGAAAGCAGAGAATTAATGCAATAGTTGTTGCAAGATACCTCCACACTGACCCACAAAATCTTCCCCTCAGATATCAAAATTTTCTTCTGATAAAAATCATCAGCCACATGAAAAATTTGTGATGGCTTGAGGTGGAAACATTAGCAGGGGCTAGTTCAAAACTCATGTGAGGGATTCATTGTCTGTGTTTGAACCCAGGTGTTCCTCCTGTGATTGAACTCAGACTTTTATGCTGTTCTGCAAAACCATTACCCTGTAACTTGTGCTGGAAGAGGAGTGAGCTGTTTTGGCACCAAAATGATTTCATTGTTAGGCTAAGTGTTACACAGATGGCATTCTTAAATGTAAATTTCTTTTTATGATTCTTTCGATTTCATATTTATTTCATTAGATCATTATTTATGTTAAAGAGTCACCATTAATATGAAGTGTGCTCAGCTTAAAAGAAAATGTTGAGAGGAGTTTGAGGTATCTGATCCTCAATCCTTTATTTTTTTGTGTTTTGCATTTTCCTATTTAAAATGTTTTTTTTGTGTCTCTAGGTGCTATGTGACAGATCCACACAAACAACAGAGGGGAAAGAGCCTCACTTAACTGATTAGAGGAGAGAAGCAGTGAAAGGGAATATGCACAAAGTGCTGCCAAGTTCACAGAGCAAAGGAATAGATAAAAAAATAGAATAATTTCACCAACATTTTTTTTTTTTATTTAATGTGAGGTATTTCTTATACTAGCAGCAGGGACACAATTTTCAGACAAAAAAGTGATTTCTTAATCAAGTGTGTCTCTAATTCAAAAGATATTTATTTAATAAACAGTAATTATGATAGCTGCAACTACTAATTCATATCAATAATTCATTCAGAAGTAAACCATATCAACATATTAGCATTTATTTTTCCATTTAATAGGTTGTGATTTAAAATAAATGTAAATCATCATAATCATTCAGCTCCATATGCTGGGAAAGGAAAAGTCACCTTAAACCAGATGCATATGTTGAAAAAAAACCAAGGGGGAAGACAAGTTGTTCTAAAGAAACAACATATGGGGCAGATATTAAGCTAGGGTAAAGATGCTCTGCTGTGTAGATGTTTATATAGCTTTAAAATGAAAGAGGGTCAATTTAGACTAGATATTAAGAAGAAATTTTTACTATGAGGGTGGTGAGGCCCTGGCATAGGTTGCCCAGAGAAGCTGTGGCTGCCCCATCCCTGGCAGTGTTCAAGGCCAGGCTGGACAGGGCTTGGAGCAACCTGGTCTAGTGGAAGGTGCCTATGCCCATGGCAGAGGTGTTGGAACTGGATGGTCTTTAAGATCCTTTCCAACCCAAACCATTCTGTGCTTCTCTGATCCTATGATAACAAGCCTGAGTTATGCCAGATGAGATTCTGGTCAGTGATTTTGAAGAACGGGCTGTTTTAGAGGGTTTTCCACTGGGTCATATAATAATTTCTTTTTTTAAGAAAAGAGATAAATATGATTTCTTCCAGTTTTAATCAGGAATGGGCAATAAATGTGATCAAGAAAATTCTAGTTTGAAGTTGTTTATGTGTGGAAACAATAGTCTGTTTGCAAGCGGTAGGCTGGCTCTGCACGTGTATGTGCTTGTGTGCGTGGAGCTGTATTTATTTTTTCCTGTCACTCTCTTAACTTGTATCCATAACTACCCACCTTGTTTTGTCAGCTGACAGCTCTTTTTAAGCTCCCTAACCCATCAGCACTCCAGCAGCAAGCTCTGCTGAAAGCCCTTCTTTCTGTCCCCTGTCTGAGGTCCAGAGAGCAGCGTTTGGAGGCTGCAGAGCACAGTTGCACTTGTTAGAAAATTCTCTTTTTCCCTTGGGCATAGGAGACAGAACAATGAAGGACCCAAGCCCTGTTCAGCATGTGTTACTGCTGCTCGAGCATCTCAAGCACTTGGTGCAGATCTCATCTTGCAGGTTTCCTGTTGCTTTTGCTTTAAGCAGGTGAGGCTAGAGCCCGTGATGAAGAGTGCAATGTCACTGTGCTGCCTGTTCTGCTACCACGTCCGAGCCAGTGCTGATGGCACACCCTTTGGGCCTCGCCAGAGCCATAGGGCCCTCTTGTCCTCTGATGAGCTCAGAAAAGCCCTTTTCCTCCCACAGACAGAGCACCCTGTGTTCTGGCTGGGAAAATAAGGCTGTGCACGCTTCCATCCCCAGACCTCTGGCAGTGATGCTTTCAGGGGACATCTTAAGGCAGTGGTTGTGGTCACAGCGTGATGCGCACTGTGTGGGTTAACCCTGCAAAGAGATGTTTTCACAGCTTCGCAGGTGAGTGTTGTCACTCTTGCACTTATCCTGGTACTTTTCCGAGGCTGCAGGTGCTGTCCCAGTGATGACTGCCCTGCACATCTAGTCTGTGGTACTTGGGGATGTATGGCCACAGGGCAGGAAAAATAAGGTACCTGACTTTGTGCTGTTAATATTCCTCCAACAGTTTTTAAGGAGAAAAGTGAGTCATGTTATTTAATTTTTCCCATCCTAATAAGGAGGAGCCATGCTTTTTCACAAGTTATTGCATTATTCCTCTGTCCGGTGTGGCTCTGATTTAGTGCTGGATGAAGCTCAAAAGGAGGATTAGTGTAGATATACTTCCATATGCTTGGATGCATTTCTGAACTGTGTCTGTACCATCTTCACTGCTTTTGATGGAAAAAGCTGGGCTATAATCCTGATGAGAACAGACTTCCTTGCAAGATGTTTAGTATTTCCTGCTTCCATTTGGGCCAGGAAAACAGCACATCCAGCCCCTTTTGGCCCTGCAGCTCTTGGTCATGGGCTTGCCTGAAATTCAAAAAATGACAGCAGCAGAAAATGAATGGGGGAATAAAAGGAAGTTGATTTTTCTCCACTTTAATAAAGGATAGATTAGGGTTTAGTTCTGGTTCTGGCAGAAACTTTGCTGAGGAAGGGCATTAGTAGAATGTTTTTATTTTAATGGAATTGGTTCATCCATCTTTTGGATGGTCACAGTGGAGCGTGAGTCCGTTTTTATGGTGCTGAGTAAAAGAGCCTGTGCTGCTTTTTAAGGGCTGTACCTTCTGGGAAAATTAGGGCTGGCTGTAAAACCCATATGTATTGTATTCAAGCAAATCAGGAACACAGGAAGGGAGAAAGAAGAGAAAGAGCAAAAGAAGGAGGGAGGAAGGCTTTCCCAGACATAAGCTGCTACAGCGAGTTGTGCTACTTCTTGGTGTCACACATGGGGGCTTCACTATACTAGTATCTGGTAATTTTTCTTGTTGGTAATCAAATAGTTTAATAGTTAAACACCAAGCCACACCGAACTTGATCCTAAATCTGCCAGTTAGGGACTTTCTTCTTTAGTCTTTATATTTTTTTTTAAGAATTTCCCAATAGTACTGTAATCAGTTGATTGTTTTTGCTGATTCTCCTCTCCATTACAAGCGTTTCTGAGTTTATGAATGAAAGCCTATGTTTTCTCAACCAAATGCTCCACTCCTCTCTCTGTTAGTAAACTAACGTTAACTTACAAGATTGGACTGAAACCTCAGGCTCTGCCAGCTGGATGCTTGGGGAGTCCAAGCTGGCTAGGTAAAGAAACACCTTTTTCACATGCCCCGGTCCGGTTCCTGCGTTGCCCCACAAGTTTCTCTCAGTACAAAGGCTGACATTGTCTGCAAGGAGCAACTCAGATTACGGCCCCTTCCAGCTGCATTGCTCCTGACCCTGATCCTGCCCTGGCCTGCCCATGCTCTGCCCTCCCCACATGCATGGAGACTTCAGGAGCAGACCGCTGTCTGCCAGTGTTGTCTGTTCTTGAGGGTGGCCTTGGATGCATTTTAAAAGGCAGTGCAGATGCTCTGCAGGGATAACATGGAATGATTATTTTAGGGCAGATTTTCCCCTAAAAAAATAATAGTTCTACATGCACGCAGTTTGATCTTCGCACAAAGGATTTATATAAGAACTCCTCTCTGTCAGCTACAGAAAAAAAAAAAGCAGCGCACTGGCGGGATTTAGGGAACTGTGCAGTATAGAGGATAGCAGCAGACAAAAGGGAGTTTTTCTTCTAAGAACATCTGCACAGCTGGAGCTCTGGAAGTGCTGCAGTTAGAAAGCCTAGGTGTTGCCTGGCTAGGGCAAGGGACAGTGTCTGTTTGGCACCCTTCTGACATGCAAATTTGGCCGGTGGTTCTTAGAGCAGTCCTCAGTCCCATCCCCTGCTGTGTACACACAGATGTATTTATATTATTTTGCCACCAAATGCCTGGTTTTGGGAATCTGCCACCCTCAAGGTAAACTGTACATAAATGATCTGAGGGTAAGGGTGGAGGAAAAAGCTGTGATACCTTTACATGCTAAAGTAGATGTGAAACAGGCAGAAAGTTCACCTGATCTCTCAGGAACAGAAATGCTGCAATGACTGTAGACCAGCATGACATCCCAACTGCTAGATGCTCTGCAAAAATGTGCCCATAGCTCAGGGTGGAGAGACTTAACGATAAGTCCACTAGAGAAACAACCTCATCAGCTTAGCAAGGGCCTAGTAGGATAGGGAAGATGCTCCCTTTTGGAACCTGTACCCCCAAAAGACTTTCTAAGACCAGGTCTCCACTGTATGAGTGGAGACTGGCTAACTGTTCGATCTGTGTTGTGGCATGAAGGAAATGTGCATATGAATCTGAAGTTACTTGGATTTTTTGTCTGTCTCAGGACAGACAGAGATGGCCCCATTCAGCCATCTTTGTGCTTCCCGGGGAGTAATCCCCAAATCCAAAGGCAGATCCTAACAATACAACCTGTGTGCTTGCCTTTAATATAGCATGATTTTAAAAACTGAATATAAGCAGCGATGAGGCTTTAGATCTTCCTCAAATCTCGATGTAACTTTGAGGTTGTCAGACAGTACTGAAATGAGAGATCTGGAGTAGGAAAATTAGCGAACACAAAAGTCATGATATTTACTCAGTTTATGCATTTTCTCTCTTTTTTTTTCATAAAACCTGCATAACTGGCATGTAATTGTTTTGCTAAGTGAGCCTTGAAAGCAAAAGTCTTGATAGCTGTCACATATCTTCTTTGTAGTACAGTGTGTTGTCCTTATAAGCTAATCAGTAGAACTTGCTCAGAAGAACTTAATCAGCAGAACTGAGCATATTGTCAGTGCTTAACAAATAAGAAATTATAATAATATCACCAGCTCCTTTTGACACAACCTATCAAACTTTTGCTTTACTTCCAGAAGTGCCTTATTTGCCTCTCCTTAGGATTTAATACCTACTACAGCCCTGCTTACTCTGGTTGAGAGGACTCGTGAGACGACTTAACACAGTGAAAGTATTGATTGAAATAAAATTTTGACAAATGGCAGAAAAAGAATCGTGAGAAAGTTCTTGGACTGCTCCTTTGCACTTACTGGTGTTGCTTATAAGACTTGAAAATTGAATTCAAGAATAGATTTGATCTGTTCAATTGTTAAAATGTAAAAAGCTTTTCTTACAAGTTAATAGAATCACATTTGAATTTCCTGATAGTCTCTTTTTTAAAAGACAGACTCATTAGGCTTTCCTTACAGAAAGGTGAATGTATCCAGAAGAACATCTATTATTATTAATTATTTTTATTATAAGGAGCTTGGGTAGCTCAGAGAGTTGTTAATATATCTGGGGCTATCACTTCTTTGTCACAATTGTAATTTGGCCCAGGCTGGGAGTTACTGACAATACTTTCATTTTCTGATTGTTTGGTAGTTTATATGCAATTAGTTGGTGGGGTTTATTCACTTTCAGCAAGATGTATACCCATGTTATAAAGAAAACCACCAGGTCAGCTCAAAGTTGTCACTAATTGTCACAGGCTTAAATGGAACTGTGTCAATTTATCCCAGCTGAGGATCTGACCAGTGATCACAACTGGCATTAATTAGCAGATGTGTTATCAGACTCCATGGAGATGTCCCGGGTTGAGTGGCAACAGAGGCGCTCAGCCGCCACAGCAGGTGGAACTGTGCCAGTTTGGCAGCTGAAGGCAGGTGGAAAGTCCAGGTCACCCCTGACAGAAGCATGGTGATGGCTCCTGCCACGAGTCCCAGTGCAGATGGAGCCCCAGAGCATGGAAAGGCTGGTTGCATTGAAATACAAGCCACACAAGGCACCTGGGAGGGGGGAAGGCAGGAATGCAAGAGCAGAGGATGCTCCAGCACTGAACTGAATTCATTCCTGAAGTTGGGTATGCATGAGAGATTGTACTGTTAGTGCAAAGAGAAAGCCACTGTCAAATGTATTTGGGCTCTGGCTTTCTGGGTGCACCTTCTGAACTGACACTGCAGTGCCAGTTGCACGTGTGTGACAGAAGGGTGGGGGAGACACTTCTAAAAAGAGGGCATCCTAAAAAGCAGTAGGATTTCACAGTGGCTGCTACTGACACCCACAGCACTATTATGGATGTAAACTAGGGGTTTGGACTATGACCCGCGAAGTATCTTGAGCAGGTCATGAGGGTGAATGAAGAGCAGAAACATGACACATTTGAGAGGCTGTACCTTTACCAGGAGAAGGAACAACTTGCCATCCTCCCTCTGCATTTAACTGAGTGCAGTGTGGGTTAAAACCAAGCCAGTAACCTGTGCAGATACTCTTTGCACAATAGTAGCCACACCATCTCCTTTCTCATGCCCACCCACCACCATGGGATGGTGGTGGGGAAAAAGCTGCCAAGTTAATGGTGTGGGACCTTTGTAAAGGTTTCTGGTCTCTCAACGTTCACAGGACAAACCTGGATCTCAGGTAGCTCAGGGAGTAATCATTTTAGCTTCTGGTGCAGTTTCAAAATTAGCTCAAGTTAACTGACCCTATGCTTTTTGGTGCACTGGGAAAAAAAGTCTTTTCACTGTGAGAACCTTTTGGGGTAACCCATGAAAGGGAAACAGCAGAAAATTGAGGATTAAGTGGTACTGGGAATGGAGAGGTCTATAGGCTAGGCCCAGGCCTCTGACCCAGCTGATGGGATGATGCAGAATATCTGAAGGAGGTGCAACAGTAACCACCACCTGCAAGACCTCTGTCACCCTTTCTTCACACTTCTCCCACCATTTTAAGCAAGATGTGAAAAGAGGTCTAGTCACCTATTTGCTGTGACAAATCTGTTTCTTTCTCTAAATAGCCATTTCTGGGCCCAAAGCCAGAAAAGGAGATGACTGAGACTTATGTGGAGCATAGATGTCAAAGTCCAGGACCGCAGTCCACACTCTTCCAAGTTCACCACCCCCATTTTTTCTGAATTAAAGATCTTAAGACATCTAAAATCTTTCTTCTGCTAATGCCCCCTGGCCAGAGAGTCACCAGCTCAGCACAGCTGAACTTCTCAGTAGCTACTCCAGATTCGCCTCATTAAACTATGCACTGCTTTGCCCCCATGTCTACAAAGAACAAACTGACAGAGCATGTGTAACACATGCTCAGGACTGAGCAGTACACAAAGTACAGCAGCTGCCTTCACTGTCATTCAAAGTAAATACATGCAAAGACCACCTGAGCTTCAGGGGGTCCAAGCCCTAAGGATCTCTTATCTGTGAAGAGAGCAGGAACCCTACTCAGGAAGCTATAAGCTAAGTATTGATGGGGGAAGATATTTTCCCTACTTCCTGCAGAAGTGGTGCTGATACACATAAGGTTCTCTGGAAGGAGTTTAAAGCAATAGTGTGGAGAATAAGATACCTTCTCCAGCCCTCCTCTGCTGAATTAGCTTCCTGTATGCTTCGCTGTTTTGGATTGGTGCAAGATAGAGGATTTCGTTAGGTATACTCATTGCTGTGTAAGGGGTTTCTAAAATACTGGCTTCACAGCCTAATGAAAATACAGTGATTTTTCAGAAAAATCAGCAGAACATATCCTCAAAGGATATACAGACCTGATGATTATTGGAGTTTTAATTAAAATATCAGGTAAAATAAGTATTATGGTGTGTTATTGTTTCTAAGATAACAACAGAATAAACGTGCCCATTTCTTTCCCAAGTGCAATTTTCTAAATGAAAAAGTAAACATTAATATCTTCAGAGATCTTACTGATCTTATACGATAATTTAGAAAAATATCTCTATTAAGGATAGTTATATATGCTTTTTGTTGGAAATGCAATCACAGGATATGCACATAGATGCAATCTGTAGACAGATTAAGTAAATTAAATCACTCAATGTCTTTTTTCAATAGCTCTAAAGTTAAAAGTAATTTGCAAAGAAAATACTCAGTTTCAATTGGTTTGTAATATCTGTTAATGATCTTTGGAAAAAATTCTGATAACACGCGGGAATTCCCTCAGGGACAGGGTTGTGAATAAGTGGATTTTTTTAAGTTTGAGATGTCATTAGCTAGTGATTTTTTGAAGTAAAAAGCTGTTGCAGAATAAATTGCAGAGGTATACAAGTGAACAGGACAATCATTTTTATGAATAGTATACATTATTTCCACTGTGCTTTCTCCCCCCCCAAGAAAAAATTTACAATCTAACTTGCCATTACAAACATCCTGGAATCACAATTGCTTGTGTATTTTGTGCTTACTGTATGCGTGTGCTCTGTCTTTATACAAAAGTACAGATTGCTGGTGTAAAACTGCTAGTGTAAGTGGTTTGCTCCTTTTAATATTTTTTCTTTTTTTTTCCTCAGTAAAGAGCTTTTCCAGCCCACAAGACTGAAAAAACTTCCCATAACTGAAATGACTCCAGCACAGCTATTCCCTAGAAGACATCCCCCCTGATTTCTTGTGGGGCCTGCAATATATCTGAAGTTGTAGGTAAGTGCAGTCATGAAAAAAAGGGCCTCTATTTTCATGGTACCATGTTAGCACTGACAACTTTTTAACGGTTCAGAGATGGATCAGATATCTATCATACGTCACCACAGTAAGGTAACATTTCTTAGGACAAATGAGATCTCTCGGTCTCTGCCCCCTATGTGAGGATATCTGAAGTAGAAAAGAATGACAGAGGCACTGCAGAGTACACCTGCCCATGGGGAACATTGCCGTGCTTCTGATATTCAGAGGTATAATTGAGCCATGGGCAGTTGAGGATGTCTCTGTAGGTGGGTCTAGGTTTAAACAGGGACAGGGGGCACTCTGAAGGGATGCTGGTCGGGGTAATGGACTAGGACTCCAGGGTGTGCTGCCATCCAGATCAAAAGATAAGGCTAGTTGCAGTCATTGAGCCTTTGTTTTCCACACTTTCCTCCAGACCTCTTTCACCCAAGACGTTACTGATCTTGGTCTGCTTTTTCCTGATCTGTAGACGGGGCTTAAGACACACCATGTTAGCATGAATGTGATTGCTGCCTTCAGGGTTCCCACACAGGACTGGGGAAAAAACAATTTGTTCAGCTCTAGAAAGAGATGTGAACAGGCACCAGTCTGAAAAGCTTCCTAGTCTTTCCTCATCCTCTGAAGGCCCAGGGTAGGCATCCATACCTACCCTGATGATCCATCGTAAGTTAGACAGTCCCTCAGTTCCCATAGATAGATGTTCAATGGTGCTCCACACTGACTCTGAGGGTAGTAGCACTCCTGCTTGGCTGCTTCTTGGTGGTCGCTGGCACTGATCAATCCTAAAATGCCTTTACTTTGACAGAGGCCAATAACAGACAATATGAAATGAGGCTTTCCCTCCCCACTGTGTCTTTAACAGTGTAAGAGTTGACTATGGATGAAAATGCCTTCCTAACCCTGTCTATTGACAGGCATATGCCAAGAACTGCTGGGATGATTAGGCATTATTACATAATAGCAGCTAGTAAAACTCTCACAGATTTTTTTAAGGCTAGGAGCAACCATTATTATCATCTAATCTGATCTTCTGCATAATACATGCTATGGAATTGAACCCAATCTGAACTTTGTGTGAAGATTTGCTTTTATGCCTAAAACGCCTCCTTACTTACAAATATGATGCTGTTTTTCTCAGTACTATCTGAGCAGCAGCAAGCTCCATTAATTAACTGCACATTGTTTGGAAAAACAATACCTCTTATCCATTTGAAATTTGATACCTCTTCGTTTCACCTTGCAGGGTAGGAAAGGTTTGGTTTTTTTTTTCCTTTGCTGCTAATTAGGTTGGAAGATCATGAGGGCGAAATGTTGTTTATATTATAGTCATGCTTAAGTAGAGCTCTGACGAAGCCTGGGGATCCCATTGCACAAAGTGAGGGAGACTGTGCAAGCCCTTCAGGACTGAAGCTATTTGAATAGACAAATGGCACATTTTTGTGGGAGCTGCGTGATTTAACTGGAAAAATTGTCAAGCAAGTCAATGGATTTGTACCTCTGAATCACCTATGCTTTTCTGAAAAACTCATTCAAAGTCTGAAAAAAAAAAAAGGCATGGAAAAGCAAAGTTTCTAAAACTGAGGCTGAAAAAACAGATTAGGATATAGTCAGCAAACAAATAATATGTAGCTCTGTGTCAGGTCTGCTGCCCATACATCACATTGGCCTCCAGTGGCAACAAGTCCTCTAAGGAGAACAGGGTACACTGAACAAAATATCGTCAATGTCTGCTTCATGCAAGGGCTCAAAGCCTTCCAGAAAAACTGTTAGGGTCCAAGGACATCTTCTAGATTATCCCAGGCAACAGCACTTGTTCCAAGTTTATGGAGAGGGTTCATGTAGAATTTGCAGTTCCATGAAGGCACATCTTCCCTGAGAGAGAAGCTGGTGCTTGTGTTCTTTATTCTCAAGAAATTTCCCACTCTTTTGGCTTTTATCATTTTTATCACCATTCTCTGGACTTGTTCTATTTCTACTTTCTTTTTTTCAGGGTTGAGGTGACCAAATTTGAAGACAGTATTCAAAGTAAGGATGTGCCACTGATTTATATAATAGCATTATAATATTTTCCATATTATTCTCTAAAACTCTTTTCTTCGTACAAACCCCATAAGATTCTTTTTAATTCTTTGAACTACAGTGCCTTTTAACATCTGTAGTTTACTCTGATCAGATTTTGACAAAGGAATAAAAGGCTCCATTTTTCACATAGAATTTTATTTATTGTTTGAACTTTAGAAGAGAAATTGGTTAACTTACAATTTAAAATTCTTGGCAATGTAGACCATTGGGCAAGGATTTAATTATCAAGCCTTCTATGCTTTCTGTAGAAATGCATGAGGCTGAAAGTTGGTGCACAAGGTCTTGGCTTAATAGACTTTTTTGTTTTATAAACAAAACAAAAGACTTAACTGGAGTTGCCAGCATTCCCAAGGATGTCAGAAACGTCATTCACCTGTGACTCCTTCCTGATGAAACATGCTAGGACCATGCGTTTACATTACAACTGGGACCACACACACATACAAGCAGTACCTGAGTTCTGTGGTCTCCTGTTTATTGCACCACACACCTCCATGCCAGGCCAAGGGACGACCCTTTTGAAAATGGAGTGCTTGATGACTGCAGAGGGTGAGGATCTCACTTTTGTGTCACAGCTGTGTGTTACACCTTCATCAGGGTATTAAAAAAAGCTCAGGGAAAAGAGTTACATCTATTCTTATTGCCTAAGACACTTCCTGCAGCTACTGCCTTTCCTTAGAGTTACCAATCCAAGTGCTGACCCTTCCTGACCCTACTTATGTTGTAAAAGCTGACAAGATCACAGCCTGAAGCAGTATAGCCACAGGCTCAATACTGGCTACCAAAAAGTCTGTTTAGTATTTTCAAGAAACACTGTTCTAAAGATTTGCAATACTTGCTGTTAGATATATGGACAACACCAGCACACAGCCCTGACCCCTGAACATTCAGCCCCACTTACACAGAAATCTGTGCCTCTCAAGGGGCCAACACTGAGCTGCCACAACATAGTGATTCCCTACCTGCAACTGAGCTGGAATTTAAGCACCGTTTGAGCATATACACTCAGATATTAAGTAAAACTCTTTGAAAACTACAGTCATGAGTTCAGAATTCATTGTTTGCTTCTTTCATTAGTTGCATTAGTGCTTTAGAAATAGAAAAAGCTCTGCCATTTCTGTGTTTTATACATATATTCATTTTAGTGTAGAGAATCTTCTTCATTCTTCTGTGACCAAAGCAGTTTTTCATCAGAAGGTATTTTTAGATGAACTGTAAGTTTCTTCCCTAGCAAACATTTTGGCTTCACTGTATGAAAGCAAATGCACATTACCTGGGATATCTCAAAGGCTAAACACAGGTTTAAATATCCAAGAAATATTAAGGGACCAATCTGGTTTAATTTCATATACATTCGCATATGCAATTAACTGTATCACAGTATACTGTGATACTGTGATACATTCATACAATATACAATAATAGTTCTTGCAGAATGGTTTGGTGTGTTTGGGTTTTTTGGTTTTGTTTTGTTTTTTTCATTTTAGAATAGCGAGGACATGGAAAAGACGTTGAAGTCCTATTGCTCCTGTTGGAAACTTCTGCTGACTACAGCATGAGTTGGATTGGGCCCAGAGAAACCAAATACACACAAGTAACAACGAGTTGGCCATACAAGCAAGGAAAATCACAGGTAACAGGTGAACACAAATTAGCAATGCACCTTTTAGGTCAGCCAGTACAGTTCCCTGATACCATGAGATTGTTTCCTATGGCATATTTTTGGTTGTTTTGTGTGCATAGATTAAATGTCCTAAGAGATGCCATGTCCCCAGGGATAGGCTGTGCTGTCTAGAGTATATTGTCGTCAGAAGGGTTTTTTTTACCTTTCTTAACATCATCATATTTCTTCTAGTTACATCCCTTTGCAAACTCTTTATTTTCCTTCACTGATGCAATTTTCTTCCAGTATCTTTTAACTGCTGTGTTTAGTTAGCATAATGCCAACCCATAGCTATTTAGATCGTATAATCTTCCCTAACACATCAGTCCTTTCAGTCTCCTGGTTATTCCTTCTTTCCTCTTGTCACACTCCTGCCTGTCAGTATCTTTTTTAGTTCTGAGATTTTAAAGATGTGATGCATTTCTCTGAACTAATGACAGATTCAGTATAGAGCTGAGCACCCTCAATGTCTTCTCACTGAAAACCCCTGATGTGCCTAGGGAAAGCTGCCAGCAGTCTGGACAGACACACAGGTAGTAAGTATCCTGCTCAAACCACTTCCCTTGTGCCACTTATTCTATTGGCCAACAAAACCCTGTTAAAACAGTTAACATAGTAGTCAAAAAACCCACAAATACATGTCATTATAGATTTATTTTATTTCTTACAATATTAGGAGGTGAAAGTAGCACAGATAAAAAAACCTTTGTTACTGTTGTTGAGATTTTCTAACTCTTGGTCATGGACATCACAGGCTAAAAATTAAGGAAAATGCCATCTTCCATAACTGAGTGTTAGAAGGGTACATTGTAGAAAGTAATTATAAACATAGTCACAAGCTTGGCTGTTCACTTCAGGCAATAAATTCTGATCAACAAACAACACCCCTTTAGTGCTAACTGAGATCTTGGTTGTAATTGAATGTCTTTACCTTTGTGTTCTGTTGGATTGGAGGAATATAATTTTAATCTGCTCTTTTTAAATTTTCATTAAGGAACGTTTCAGCTACCTGCAGCCTCATCTGATAATGCTTAATGATATCACCTAGCTCAGTCTTCCGTGTAGTAGCAGAAGCTTCTTTAAATTGGTCAACTGTATGGAACATTGTTTTCAAGTTTAACTCGGAATCAACCTTTTAAAACAACGGCATCTCTAAAGACAGTTTATATACATAGTGCACACATACATGCATGCATTTATATGTGCATGTATGTGTATGCATATATGCACATATGTGAACACATGTACAGAAATGTTAATCTTCACCTTCTTGAAATCATTACAGATAGTATTAACATAAATGTGCTGTTAAATTGGCAGTGTTATACATTTTTGTTGGAGTTTACTCCTGTAACATAAAATCAGAAAGATAAGCTGTGAAACTCATGCAGCTGATGACATAATGCTAGGATCTCGTGATGCTGAATCTCATATTTCTAGGAGTGTGGGATGGATGTTCCTTGCTGAAATAATTATACTGCCTATTGCAATATATGTTTCCTTGTTTTCATGTGGGCACTGGGATGTCCAAACCATTAAACGTATATGGTATAATGAGTCCTGTGTTTCTTATTTATTCTGAAGAAGGCATTAATTTTCCACTGTTGTTTTATTGTATAATAAAGCCAGCTACTCTAAGAATCTGTGGTGAACATAGCAATAATCTGTGACAATATGCAAACTTACATTTAATAATGATGTCCAAATGTACATGTGTGCATATAAATATGCATATATGTATATACAAACACACATAGACATATACACAAATTAAATGGAAGCAATTAGAATGTGGCAGGAATAAATTCAAAGATTACCTGTTATGGCTGTGTGAAAGGGTAATTTGAACTATAAAGACATGCAAGAAAGCATAGCTCAATACACTCCATTGGCTCGTTCCCATTATGCTCAACAGCGACAGGCTGTATGCTAAGACGGGGTACCAGCAGACATTCGTAATGACAGCTGGTTCAAAACAGAGCTTTCAAAATAGTGCAACACCCCTAACTTCCTTCCAAATCTTGGTGCTTGCCAGCACTTAACTGAGGCTGGTTCTTAAGGTCAGATATTCAGATTAAAGTTTTTCAGAAAGAATCTGGTTATGTTTGAACTGTATATATGTTCAACATAGGCTCTTTGTTGCCTGTGAATTTGCATTTGAGCTCAGAAATGGAATATTCTTGGCTGCTACCTGCAAAAATGATGGATGTTTCTCCCTGATACCATGCCCTATTTGCCTGAGATTGTGTTCTATTGAGTTCTTCTCTCTCCTGTGGGCTATATAACCCACAGTATCTAGACAGTAGCTGTTTCTTTTTGCTGAGACAAATTAACTCCCTCAGCCTCTGTATTGAGAAATGGAGGAAAAGTGGCTTCCCTTTAATGTCACCCACATCACAGCCACGATGCTCAGCCAACTAGGAACACAGCAGAAAAATACTTCAGTTGTCCTGTGTGACTTTTTCTGGTGGATGAGTATAGAATCTGGAAATAAACATGTTCCTCCTTTGCAAGGAAGTGCAAACAGAGTTTATCTATTTGCATTTGAACTCAGTGAAACATAAAAAGGCCCAGAAAGCAAGCTTAAATATAAGACATGAATATAAGTAAAGCTAAATTTCACTAAGCTAAATTTAAGTGAAATGTGCCACATTGTTATAATTACTACATAGAACATGCGCTAATTAATTGTTATGCTGTGCTGGTGAAATAGTTATGTATTCCATACGGGGCAAATAGAGGAGTTTACCCTGGGATGCTATTGACTTTGCTGAGAAGCCAGTATGTGGGGAGCATGCCACGAACAACCTTGTGAAAATTAGGCTGGCTAACTGATTTGGTCTTAGAAATTACTTTTCAGGGTGGTTAGAAAAATATTTTAAATCTGTGATAAATTTTAGATGTAGCACTGGACTACTAAGTGTGTGCAGGGTGTCCAAAATAGTTTTTCATTTACCATATCACCTGGGGACCCCAAATGATAAGTATCATACCTTCACAGGAATTCAGGCAGCTAAAAATACTGCTGTTTAGGGATCTTCAGAACTGCCTGGAAACTTCTCTGCAGATGAAATTAAGGAGACCTGGGCATCAGGGTGCTTTGGAAAAGCATTGACCAGGTGCCTATGAGTCTCCTGGGGAGCTGACTCATTTTAGGAGTATTGACCTGGCTTCAGCTGGAGGTGCCTCTAGGGAGATGTTGAGGGGAACAGGATGAGACTGTGCTCATTTCTGGAGGAGATATGTGTCTCTTGGAAACCAGAAGGCTTGTGCAGGTTTACTTCCCTACAGAAGGCTTGCTTGGCTTACTGATACCCGTCCTGTTAGCTCGAGCATGGTACATGTGAGTAGTGTGGGCCACGCACTCTGGCTGGCGGTGCTCCTGTTTGCCATCAGCCTTCTCTCCTGGATCAGGGCCGCTACCGATTGCTGAGGGGTGGCCAGGAGCAGCTCCCTCTGGTGAACCGCTTTTGTGCTTTTATCTCCCTCTTCTTGGCAGTAAGCTGCCACTGGCTCTCAGCCATGGCCCTCTCGCCCTCCCCAGTGCCCAGCTTGCATGCTCAGCCAGCGCCTAACATCTCTTCCAGCAGCTGGCCCTACTTTTCCTCCACAGCTGGCTGCTGCCCCCTACTGTGGTAATTATTATTTATTATGGATATTCTGTGTACATTATGTGTCCAGAGTCCAGTACTGTCTAAATCACTACCAGGGTCCCACTGTGTGGGCAGAAACATGCAGCAACACATAGTTGTTCCACATTGGTATTCACCCGACTCTCACACAGGGAGATACTGAGGGGGAAAGAGTGAAGGTGGCTTTTGGCACCTCTTAGCACTATCTGATGTGACATGTACGCTCTGTCTTGTGTTACATGAATCCAGCAACAGCACAGCTGAGTGCAGAAGGGCTTTTTCTCCACCTTGCTGTCAATGACAGTTCTCCTGCTATTCTTGCCATTTAGCAAGAAACACCTGAGGTGTTTTCCAAAAGTCATGGCTGCTGCTCAGTCACAGTTTAACTCCCTGCTCCTCTGAATACAGATACTGCTTGGTTTTCAGTTGCTGTCATGACATAATGCCCTTAGACCACAGCACGGTTATATGGGATATAATCTTTGTTCCTGTTTCTCTCCTCCACCTTCTTCTCTGGGATTCTCTGCTCATGCTGGTTCCCTTGTGCATGCGGCCTTCTCCATGCACTTCACTCTTCCTCCTCACCCTGCTTCCCTGAAGATACCACCCCCAGTTAAAAACAGAGGAGCTTTTAACACCCACAACTTAGAGCACAGGCAAAAGCACCTGGATGAAGAAGCAGTTTCTATACACTCAGAAAAATACAGAATCCTAGACATATTTCACATATATATGTACATTTGCGAGAGGCGGGTTCTCAGCTGTGGTGGTCAGGGTTACCTCTGTTCAAGAAGATGAAGCAATATGAAGCAATAATGCTTCATGGCAGCTGAGGATCTGTCCTAGTATGTAAATGTAAATATCTATTTTTAGAAGCCCTCCTACAGGTTGCTTAAAAAAAAAGAAAAAAAAAAAAGCTTTCTTTTTTAGACACTAAAAACGTACCAGCCAGTCAGAAATGTCCCACTTTCTATATTTTGTCTAATTCCTACCCCTGACTTAGTTTGAAAGCTTTCAAAATCTAATGAATTCAAAAGAGATAGAGTGAATTAAAACTGATGTAACTTTGCCTTTAGTGCACTGGGCCTGTAGGAACTGAAAAAAAAATAATTGGAAATGTTTGCTTGTAAGTGGGCTCACCAAACCCAGCAAAATTCCCACTGTCCTATTATTTATAATCTTCTGCCCTTTCAGCTAGATGCATCAAGTTAATATCAAGAGCAAATGCTCATGTAATGTAATCTCTACATCAGAGCTCTTTCTGCCGTGAATCAGTTTTCAAATTGTTTTGCGTTTACATTTAATTGCTTCCTTTGCATGCTATGTGTACACATGCACTCCTCCCGCCCCCACTATGTTGTACGTAACTGTCATGTAGGCTGGAGCAATAGTCTTTGGGTACGGCGTAGTCAAACCTCAGCTCAAGGAGTTCAGGAACTGATTTGTCCTCTTTTAAGATGGGAAACACATGTGTGACTTGGATCCAGATCTTGGGGTGGATTCTGGGTATGCTGATTTGAATGCATTAGGGTTTGGGATTCAGACTCGTTTATTTGTTATGACACCAGTCTTAATACCTTGTACTGGGTGTTCACCTTTTCACTCACTAAAAAGAGAAATGCTTCTCATATTCATTTCCTCTAGGAACAAATAACCTTAAAGATGCTTTTCACAGTTTTATTTCTTAATGTCATCTATGACAATTGCTTATAGGTGACCTCTGCAAAATCTTTTGAACCTTTGGATCACTTAGTCACCTTCATCTGAGAAATGCCTGTTATCCCACTCTCCCTCTGAAGGCCACTCCACTGTTTTCTCAAGGTACTTCAGTCCTACAGGGCGGTACTTTTCCCCCTTGTAACAGCCTCAGTGGTTTGAGAGATGGAAGAGCACCATCATAGGGTGTTCCTGTCCAACAAACTCTCTCTTGAGCTGCTGTTCAGAACTGGTTTCTTGGGCTCTCTAAAACTGTGGTAAACTTCAAAGCTCTGCAATTCTCAGGATTTTGCTGATCTCTTTTTGAAGACAGGCAACATAATAGGGCTTCCTAGCTTTCTTGTGCTGCTGCATTTTCCGAGGGAAGAAGCCATCCCCTTGTCAGTATCTTGGCTTTTTTTTTCACTTTATTTCCCCTCAGAACTCCCAGATGAACACCATCCGGTTGCGGTGATTTACTGCACTTGAGTTTCTCAAGTTACTCTACAACTTCCTCCTTAGAGACTTCAATCTGTATAAAGGCCACACTCTGATTTTCTTTGCAAAGTGCCTTTGGCACAGGAATTTCTACATGACTCTCAGCAGCAGACATAATGCAAGAGATTCATTTAACTCCTCTGTTGGCTTGTTGCACTCTTCTCCTGACCCACTTTGTACGGTTTTGCGGGGATCTCTGGGGCGTTTTGGTGCATCATCCAGCCTAAGATTTATATTTGCCAGCACGTGAGGCTTGGCTTTCAGCTGGTGTTCTCTTTCTGTTCTACTGAAGGATATTTCTGCATATGACTTCAGTCACTCTTCGCATCCTATTTGTCTGTTTTATTAAGCCCAGTGCCATTCCTCTGCACTACATCTGTCACAGGTGGGTTAAATCCTCACTGTCCAAATCCAAACTGGCACTGTTGCTAGGAAGACATTCAGGTGAAAAGCTGGTCGTGCAAGAGCCCCCTCTTCCAGCACTATGGCAAGCAACCACCTGGTATGTTATGGCAAAGGGACAGGCAAGTGCTCAGCACCACAATATAGGAGGAGGGGGCCCATATCCTAGCCCATGGCCTGGCCCTCAGCCAAGACTGAAGAGCCCTTTACTCTCTTACCTCTGATAAACGGAAGTCAGAGGGCTGCAGCAATCCTTTCTCTTTTCCACTTGTTCCTCTGTATATCTATTTCTGTTTCTTCCCACCCCCTTTCTGTTTTAAGGAAGACAGA